TTTTTTCCTTTCTTCTCTTTTCTTCTTTTTCTTTTCTTCTCCTAATTATTTTTAGGTGCAGATTTTTTAACGAAAATACGTTCGACGATAAATATTTACTCGATTTCATTTTACGGGTTCATTCGATTTTCTTATCACGATGAGCTTTGATATAAAAACATTTTCTTTGTTTCGTTATCGATAAGTAAGCTTAATTTAGTGTAGCGACGGCGCTTCGATAATTTCAATACTCAACAATGATTCACTGAAAAAAGTTAATCGACTGGATGCACATAATTTAGTCAGCTGTTATGTTTATTTTCATAATTATCGTCGTCATTATGAAGTCCACAAATTTATCGCGTATAAATAACGCAATTATAAAGTTTGATCATTTCATATGCACAATTCATCTTCAATTATACAATTATTTTCCATCATGTTCTGTATAGTAGATAGATTTTTTATAATGGTATATTTCTTTTTCTAGATTAAATATACAAAAATTCACGCTGATGAAAGCTTTTACGTTTTAAGTAATCAAGGCTTTTTTTAATAAAACAAGCGAAGGATATGAATTAAATTATACTCCGACAGTACCGAAGAACAAAAAGAAGTTGAAGTTTATGAAGCAAATTGAAAATGAGAAACGATAAAGTAGCTACCCGCTTGACAAACATAAAGAGCGACGACGTCAATCTTCGTCGATACTACAGTACTTTTTATTCCGAAAGCCATTTGGTACCGCATCAAATGTCGGAGTAACGAGAAATCGCTGCGTAAGGGTGATTTACCCGAAATTGTAATAGCTTCGAATCTTAAAGGGGTCGTAGTCACTAAAACAGATCTATTTCTTTGGTAACAAAAAAATGTCATTTCTTTAGTCTGTAGTTTGCTACTCTCCTGTGATTTGTTAAAGAGAAAAAAATTCATGCCTTTGTTCTTTATATAGCATTTTTATGACTGTTGTACAAATATTGTGATTACATATTGTCCTTTTTCAGCCTTTAATTTTCCTTGAAAACTAGCTTACGTACTAACTTTTTATTTGAAGCACACACGTTAAATTCATAAGTAATCATGAAATAACTTTATCAAAATATAATGAATGATGAGATATTTCATCTAAAAAAAGTCCTAGTATTTAATATAATTAATAATCTAACAGACTTACCTGTAAATGAAGTTTGATTGCAATTATATTATTTTCCTCGTCTGAAGAAATCAAATGTAGTAACGCCAGTTACCAAATCAAGTCAGCAATTTTTCAATTAATAATTTCAAATTGTCGAATCGTTACTCTTCTGTTATTTGGTGTCCATCATTGAGTCTGTATAAAAATCATTATTTAAACATTTAAAAAAAATTTATTTATTTAATGTTGCAACAATGACTAGGTTATCAGCGCCTTTTCTGGACAGAGTTACTATAAAGTTTTTCGGTAATACAATACGTACATTCTTTCGGTTAGAATGTTGTAGTAATTTCTTAGGTCTACGAGCATAGATATTAGGAATTCGAGGCACAATGTGAGCTTTCGCAGGTCATCATTTATTAATAAGAGGATGAAATAAAAATAAATTGAGCTTATCAAACGAGACAACTAATATAATTACAATCGCACTTCACTTATAGATAAGTTCGTTTCCTTATCAATTATATTACGTTATCAAATGTTTTAAATAAAAGCTTATTAATAATTATATTTAGTTTAGAGATTAAAATACACCATTTTTTTTATTAAATTAAAATAATGCTTGATATAAATGTAGAGCTTAAATAGCGCCAGTAAATATTTTAAGAGTGCAATTATGTTTCCAAATAAGACTGGCTTCATAAGGCAATTTTTCTTTCCATCAATTCAAATCTTTGTAAATATTCTTTGGTATAGAAAACGCTACCCTGCAAGATTGCAAAATTTTGCTCCTAAATATTGAATAGTTATTTTCGTAATAATTTATCACGTTAAAACCAAATCTGGCAACAGAATTGCTCTATCGCATCAGGTTTTTGAGACATCCTAACCTAAAAGTGTAAAAGACACGGTTTTTTGACGTATTTGAGATTATGTAACTATAAAAATTTTTTCTTTTTAGAAAAACTATACAAAGTAATTTAAAATGCAAACTTTGCTTTTTTTAATGCCGTTAAACTTGCTCAAATAATTTTTTCTACGAGTTATTGCATTTCATAATTTCAAACAAAATAGGTAAAAATATAGCGAAGTTCGTCTTATATAATTGTAACTTAAAAACATGCTGATTGGTAAGAAGTGACATACAATATATAGCCTCGGCTTTAACTAGATTTTATATAGATTGTATATATTTATATTGGTTATATTGACATACATGTATTCACAGCACGCGGAAAATAAACTAGTACACTTTGAAAAAACGAAATAAATCGCAGTTCTATGGCAGACAGGGCTTGTGGGTTTGGGGTTTGCGGTTTGAGATTTGTGAGTTAGGGGTTAGTCGATTTGATGCTTGTGAACTTGGAGTATGAGTGGTTAAAATTTATCGCTCGAACTTAATCAAGTTGTAGTGGTCAAATTAAATTAAAAGCTCAAATTTTGAAAGAGGAGATCTTTTTACAGAAGAGAACGTTGATTTGTTATTAATTTTTGAAGATTTTTAATGAATTGTTAATTGAATAGCCAATCTATAGCTAGTTATAATGGACTCTGAGAAATTCATAAACAAAAAATTTCAAATTGCCATAACTAGGCGCAAAAAAAACATTTAAGCAAACTCATAGGTATTCAAAAGAGTAAGATTTGTACTTTAGTCTGTAAAGTTTTCCTAAAAAGAAAAATAGTTCCGCTGTTACATAACTTCAAATATGTCAAAAAATCATGTTTTTTACACTTTTAGGTTAGGATAGCCAAAAAATCAGACGTGATAGAGTAATTTTAAAACTAGATTCAGTTTCAGCGTAAAAAATAATTCGGAAATGACTATTCAATGTTTAGGTGCAGAAATTTTTTAAAAATCTGCAGGGTAGCGAAGTATATCATCATAATCACCTCGAATTTCATCGTAACGCTAAAAAATGTGCAAGTTTCAAATTATGTGGTGTATAGTAGAGTATATATAACTGTTGGACGAGCAGATTTTTAAATTCCAAGGAAATGAGCTCATTCGCGAATTTTCATAGTTTGCATATCTTTTTGTATAATTAAGAATGACCGAATCACATTCGAGTTCTCAGATCTAGGGTTGAAATCCATCGACGCAATCGAATCTAAATCAGACGATTTGACACTACTGGTACACGCTCATAGCTATGTAACTGTGACCTTTTGTAGCTGCGTCGACGGTATCTCTTCAGGTACGATGATGAATGCGATCACGATCAGTGCTGACGAGAACGGAGGCATGGCCTTGATAATATTAACGATATCTCGATCGCGAATTAGATCATGATCGCGACATAACCAATTTTTTTGGAAGTGATTGATCACGGTAACAATTAATGATCTCAAAATTGCTGATGTGATCTGGCAACTGGCATTACTACATTTAATCTCGAGAACGAGATAACGTAATATAATTCTAAGTTTACATTCACTCAGTCAATACAATGACATAGTTCCATATGGAACACGAAGAATGTCTGTTGATCAGAATATATAGAATAACCTCATCAGCTTGTGGTTGATCTGCCCGATCTGGTCTTTGATTGATGAGCCTATTATCCGTCGCGATTTAATCGAGCCATCAAGTGGAAAGCTCTTCTCAAGAGATCACCAAAGCTGTCTAGTTATCTTGCACTCTTTTACAGATCAAACATTGAGTTTTACTTATTAACTTGAATAAAACATTTGATATGAAAATACACATCAATAATTTATAAGGTTGACGTACAAATGATCGGATCAGTTTGATCAGGTTCTATAAACATAAGGTATATAAGAAATAATTTTTCAAATTTCACGATGAGATGTTAATAAAATATGTCAATCTATTTTTTTTCACAATGGGCATTAAGGAATCCACTTAACGACCGCACTACAACGCCAAAACCTTGCGGCTAGCTGAGATCAGGAACCGCAAGGCGGGACGAGCGCAACTGAAGGGGTCGTTAAACGCAACCTCCATAAGCTCGGTAATAATAATTTGGCTTGGGCGCAAACGCACAAACACAGCCGTAGAGAAAGGTGAACGTTTGCAGAGGACGTAACCATAAGAAGCAAAACCGCAAGCGCATGAAATAAGGTAAAGCGATAAGCTCGTCGGTAATGGATCTGTTAAGAGCTGGCTTTGGCAGAAGATTGCAGTGGTTGTTTTTTTTTATTCGCCCTCGCTCTCTTTCTTCAGCTGAGTCTGAACAGGCTTTGAGCGCGACAAAGAAACTTCAGTTAATTAGAGAGAGAGAAAAAGAGAGAGAGAGAGAGAGAGAGAGAGAGAGAGCAAAAGACGTTGGCAATCCGCGTTGTCGAAGTGGCGAAAGCTCAGTAACGGTCGATTAAAGACAGCAGAAATCCAGCGGTTTATTACAGATCAATTAGTGAGCAGATCTCCACACTCGAGGAGAGAGCGGGAAGCAAGTCAGACGACGGGCAGGGTGATATATAAGAGTGGAAAGATCGCGAGAGTTGAATGTCTCGGATGCGCTTGCTGCCGTAGACAGCTGCGTCGAGTGGGCAGGGGGAGCTGGTGGCACATGGGAGGCCGGCTGATGGAAGACTCGCACCGAACATCCGCACAAACACGAGCCAAGAGCGCAAAGACGCGTGCCGTCGTGCAAGGAATCGTAGGCCGCAAGGTCTCGCGTTCGGCTGCGCGCCGCTGCGAGGGGACCATGGAGCCTCACTCTAGTCGTCGAGCGAAGACTCCGCTCGGCGCATGCGCACCCTCTTTACCCTCTTTCCCTCTTGAGGCAGTGGAACTCGCGTGCGCGCGCGTGAACGTCGTCGGCAGCCTCGCTCTCTCTCGCTCTCTCTCTCTCTATCTCTCTCTCTCTCTCCCTCTGTTCGTCCCTCTTTCTATGCTTTCAGTCAGTGCTCGAGCGCCACCGGGTCAGCCTAAGCCGCAGCCGTTGGCGCGTTCAGTGCGCGCTGCCGCGCGTGTGTTATTGCTCCCACGTCATTTGCAGCCGATATTGAAAGTGCGAGAAGGGCGCGACGGGAGGCATGAGCGGGGCTCGTTATTAGCAGTCGGCGTCGTCGCTGCGAGCTCCGTGCTTGAAAGCTCGCGAATCAGAGGAAAGAGTGTGCGAATCTGTGCAGCGGCGATGCAGTGCAGCAGGCAGCAGTAGAGCGCCGCCGCCGAGGACAAGTGGGGACGAGCATGCCGGTCTCGCCGATCCCGACAACATGAGCCTGGAGAGGAGAACCGCCAGCAGCAGCGGCAGCAGCAGCAGCAGCAGCAGCAGCAGCAGAAGAAGAAGAAGCACGAGGAGCACGACGGTGGGTTGCCGCCCGCTCGAGTAGTACAGGTCCGCGTACGCTCAGCCGGCACCGGGAGTAGGCCGCCCTGCTGCTCGCACCGCTGACTCGTCTACCTGCGTGCACGCAATTTATCGATTCCCGCACTCGCGCTCTCGTTACCGACACACGGCCAGCCTCTCCGCCCGTCCACGGGTGCAGGCGTCGCTGCCAATTATTTCACACATTGGTCCTTGCCAGCTACCGCTGATGCAGCGTTGCCGAGACAACAGCGCCGGCTCGCGCTCTTTGTTGCGTACGCTAGGTGCATCGCAGCTGCCTCGATGCGGTGCGCTTACAGATCGCTAGTGTCCTGCTCGCCTCGGTGCGACGACCATTTTAAATAACGGCCTGCACCACTTGCACTCGCCACGCGCTTTTAAGCAGCAAGTCGCCCTCGCAATATGTCGTCTCGCTCTGTCCTCGGGCCACACTGCCGATTAAGAGGACCACTTTTATGTATGCATCACTTTCTCGTCTCGGACAGCCTCGGCTCTCTCTCTCTCTCTCTCTCTCTCTCACACACACTCTCGTCCACTTTTGTGTCTCGGTCGAAAGGGAAAGGAGGAGAGAAACCAGAAAGAAAACAATTGCCCCCTAAGTGGTCGCGCTTTGTCCTACTCTACTTTATAAAAAAAAAAGAATAACTAAAGATGCATACACAAAACGACCAGCAACGTATCGTATCTATTCGCTTCTAGGCAAAGGTTTTTCAACTCTGAAAACAACGTGTCGGTATTGATCACGTTTAAAATATTTCACAATAACGCGAGCGGAGAGAGAGAGAGAGAGAGAGAGGCCGGATAGTAGCGCAGCACGGCCAGCGCAGCAGCAGATTGCAGCGTCTACTGTGTGAAGCTGCCAAGCATATTTTACCTCGGTTTCGTCACTATACGAGCTTTTTTCTCTGCGACAGCGGCTTATTTTCATTCGCTCATGTTCCGTCGCCTTATGGGCTTACACGTGAGTAATAACAAATATGTGCGGGACTTATTTTTCATATGTTTCTTTTGTTATCGCTAAAAGCTTCCTCGCAGTCACTATCGCTTAGCCTCGTACTTTGTCCTTCTACTACGCTATTCCGGCGTTCTCAAACAGTTTTCGAAAGTAAAACGCATTTTCGGCGATTACTTCGAACAAACAAATCGAATCAGTAGCCTACGTGATCGGATCAATACTCGCTATTACATTTACTATTTTGTTATTCCCATCGTTCTTATTAAACGCAAGCGCAATGGATTTCCATTCAAAATGTAACAATTGTATGACATATCCGTGTCTTGTTCTAATGAACTGAATTAATTCCGACAGCAACTCAATTCTCATGAGTTACCTACCAACATATAATTTTCTTACTAATTATACATCCAAGCTATTATTTAAAACAATCTATTTTCCCCCAAATTCGCTGGGTTTGGGTAAATAATTATGTAGAAGTAATAAAGAAAGTAATTATTAAATAGTATTTTTACGAGATAATTAAACTTTATGAAATACAAAACTAATAACAAAATATTGCAAAAATAACACTGAATATTACATGTATCGTACATCGTAAAATATACTATTAATTAATTAAATTTTTAATTTATGAAAATTTAACCCGAATATATATTTTTTGTTATATTATATTTATTAAATAACATATAATTATATCTTGATCCATTCATTTTTATGTATAGGTAAATTTTATTAACATATAATAAACAAGAGTATACTAAACTTGAAATTAACGTCAAAAATTACAAATTATATTTTTTTAATTCACACCCGCTCGAGTAGGTATCATACAAAGAAAAAATATTATCCTATTTTGCATAATTATTTATATAAATAGCCACAATTTTAGATAAATGACTAATTAAACGTTTGTTTTTTATTCGGTTCACTGATTGAATGTATCTTCTGACGTAACATAATATTAATATCGATAAACACTTGCTGTTCAACTGTTGTTAAATTGATTATATTAAAATATATGATAAAGAGTAATCATACTGATGAAACATTAGTGTAATATAAGTTTAACCAAAACAAGTATTAGTCTTGAAATCAATTTACATGACATTATTTAACGTTGAAGATAACGTCACGGTAATGTTAGATAAATCGAAGAAATGCATGAGTTTGTGAAAATAAACTAAAATAAGACTATTACATTTTAACAATGAATTAAATTAGGATTTCAAATTTTGATTTCGACACATTTTCTAATATTTTGATAAAAATATATCAGTGAAATCTATCAAATGCAATCAAAATACGTATCCTCATGAAACATTTGATGACGTGTTATCATAAAAATTATCAATTAATGCATAACCTATCAACTGTGAAAACTGGTATGATGTCCAATAACGTTAAAAATTTGGTCTATATAAAATACGTTAATTTATTATCTTTATTAATAGGAAAAGTAGATAAAATTTATAATAAAATAAACAATGGTAAAAGAAATTTACAAAGTATGGATACTAGCTCATGCTATACGGGATGACGAAATTACTGATCAATAAACTAAACGGAGGGACAGTCATCACTTTAGCAATTGCGATACACTAATTTTAAGTCCAATTTTTAGTAAAATAACAATTTTAAAATACAGAAGTGAATTACAAATAAAGAATCCCAAACGGGATATATGTATTTTTCCTTATACTATGAACCAAATACTAAGCCATGGTTTAAAGGTCTGAAACTTAGCAGAACACTGAGAGTCACACTATGTAGGTGTTCTAGCGGGCATCTTAGCCTGAACCAATCACTAATAAAGATTAAAGTTGTACAGGAGGCTGATTCCAACTGCGGTACTGAATCACAAGATCTGAACCATGTTATACGGTAATGCCCGCAATTTAATTTTCAAAGAACTGCATTGTTAAAAGTATTTGCGAAAAAAACGGTACTCTCCATTTGATATTAAATATTATTTAGTCTTATCTGATATTTAGTTAATATAACAGTATTTAACATTGAGAATAGCATATAAGTCACAACATAATAAAATATGATAGTTTTCACACGAAAACTATCTTTTCTGTAGCTAAATGACTTTGTTTTAAGTTAATAAACCATTTATTAAAAAACGTATAATGTAGGGATAAAGAAAAGGGATAAAGAGGAAGGTGGGTAATACCTAGCTTGGCCTTTAAAGGCAAATAACGACAAAATTTTTCAAATGTATCGTAATCCTGAATGCCTATGAAAGATTGCAATTGTTTACTTCGTTTTTTCCGTAAAAAAAGTTTAAATGATAATAATTTCAATTTCGTAGAAGTAAAATGATCGAATAATCAAATTATTTCAAATATTCATATAAAATAAATGTTATAATGGTTTATTTTCTAATTAATAAGCCGAATGAGCTACAATTTACTTGACACTATTGAATTGCGTCGTCCAATAGATCAAAATTACATAATTACTACCAAAACACTCAATACGTGTTGACTAATGAGTGCTAAAATAAAGAATAAAAAATATAGAAAATGAAAAATACACTTACTGTAGAAGAACAGATTAATGAATGATGAGAAATATTCATAAAAATGGCGAGGCAGAAATAGTCAACAGGAATAAATATTTCCGTGGCTTACGTTATACTAACTATTCAAATAAATGATATTAGTAAAATATTACCAGTTATCAATTTTACCATATGTTTGTTAGGGAATAAAATGTATATTAATTTATTAATGCTTACTAGCAGTTTACTAATAAGTAACACTGTACCTCATCGCTCCTGAAGCTACTAAAACTCATTACTACCAGCTTTGGTAGCCTCCTTGTTGTACTTTTGCATACTAACAGTAAATTAGATAAAGTTTTATATTCTTTTGTTTTCCATATAGGTATATACTATCATTGTAATATTATAAATTTTTTCAAATATTCTTATGTGTAAATTATTGTGATAATTTGTTGGTTGACCAAATTGTCAGAATATTTCATTCCACTTATTATGCATATCATTTATCTCATTATAAGTTTACAAATATAAAGTAATATTGACTCATTAATATACAATAATACCTATTATTGAGTTAATCTTTATCCATATTGATATTTAACAACGCCAAAATTCAAGGAAATAAGATAAAAGCGGGAAATGAACTGTCGGTTGTACCGAATGAATAATATGAACTGTTGATATACTTTTATAGAAGAACTTATGATTTCAGTTATTCCTTTTAAAATTTTAAAAAGGAAATTCAAGTTTTGCCGAGCATTGACTTTTTATCAATAATGATAGTAACTTCAAAAGACAACCTATTTAAATTTAATACAAATCTATTTAATCTCAAAATCATTTTTTTTTGTAACGAAAGGTGAACAATTTTCAAATATTATATTATGGATAAAATATCATTCCAAGCATAACGTATAATTAACTTACTTTAGTCTGAAAAATTACGTTATTTTCTTCATATTTCTTATAAAACATCCACAACAAGTAAATTAAGTAGCACGATACTTACATAATCAATTATAACATAAACAGTCATGTTGTATTCACCATCAGTCCTTCAACACGAATAACGCAAATTACTGAAACGAGATTTTATATTTTATATGTTCACGATAACTGATTCTATAAATTTTTTGAATACATTTTCAGATACATATACATGATTCATAGACTTTGATAAATTATGTAAAATAGTTAGTTGATAGATAAATTTGCTAAAATTAAATTAAATTACCATATTAGTTACCAGACGCCGAACTCAAGTGTGATATGTAATTTAACTCGGCGACACCTCAAACGTAACAAGATCCGCTTATTTGACGTGATTTGGCGTGGAATTGGCAGCGTGCAGGCGTCATCTCCTACTTGTGCATCAGATCACGTAGCAGTGTTGAAACTCTTTGCCTTCTAATGATCACTTTCGTGTTGCGTTTGAATAGCTTCTTTTCAAACTAACTTACAGTCTGCACTGATACGAACAACTTGTTTGCTAAATGCTTAATCATTATATCAA